TGTGACCTTGTGACCTTGTGACCTTGTGACCTTGTGACCTTGTGACCTTGTGACCTTGTGACCTTGTGACCTTGTGACATTGTGACCTTGTGACCTTGTGACCGTATGACCTTGTGACTATTGTGACTCTGTTCCTATTGTCACCCATGTGACTGGTTTTCCTAATGACATGAACCATGTGTCCAAGTGACCCTGTAATAGTGAGACCGCGTGACCACTTCACCATATAACCCCCTAATCTATTTGTATGATGCACATTGTGACCATTGTGTCATGTTTTTATAATCACCCATATAAGTGTTGTGCACATTGTGATCATTGTGACCCATATACCATGTTGACATTCATGACAATTAACCTGTGTGACCCGTGACACAGAACGATGCTCGGAATGCATCCAAAATGCAGATCTGATATAGATCTTTGTTTACAAACGACACAACTACAGAAAACACAACAATTGGAAGGAAAAAAACCGCAACAACCATCAATGTGTATGAAAAAACTGAGATTTCGACACAAATTTACCTATTTCCACTTTCGTCACTGATTTCGCCTTGATTTGCCCGTGATTTTGTCCAAATTCGACAAATTTTGAAGACAAAATAGCAAAATGAGAAGGAGAGAGAAAATGCAGTAGAGAGAGACAGCTTAGTCGACAATGGCGAGAGGAGGAGAGAGAAACCGTTTTTGAAGAAAGAGAAACCTTAAAAAAAAAAGAGTTTTTTTTTTAATTTACTCTAAAGGGTATTTGTGTAATTTGTGAATGAAAGGGGTAAATTAGAAGTTGGAATTTTTTTTTTCAAGTGGAGGGTAGTATTAGAAGTCCTTGTAGTACATTGAGGGTAATTTGGAAGTTGCCCTCATTTAATTACACAATCGGACATTCAATTTCAATTAATTTTTTTTTCCAATAACGTAGTAAAAAAAATTGTTTTACCGTCCAGTTAATCCAAACTAAACAAATCAGAAACTCGTAAACATACAAAAAAAAAATAATAGTTTGAAAAATTGGGAGAAATACAAAAGTACCGTCAATTATGTTATTTACTAAAAAGTCATTCTATTTTCTATTTTTATTTTAATTCAGATTGTAATAAAAATACAGATTATCTCTTTTATATAAATTATATAAGTTATCATATTTTATTCAAAATATTTTAAAAAATATCAAATATTAAATAAAAAATATATCAAGTATTAAATAAAAAATATACTATTTTGTAACTATAATTATTAATTCATTGTATAAAATATTAAACTATATATTTTAAAACTCTATATAATAATTTTAATCCTAGATATTGAATTAAAATTATATATTTATTTTTGAAATAAAAAAAGACGATGTCAAAATAAAAAGATAAATATACACTGAAAAATATGAAAATGAGAAAAACAAACTCACGAAAATGTAATGATGATAATTGTCATCATGAAGAGAGTTATTTGGATGGCCAAAACTAATCAATATATTATAATTTAATTATTATAGTAAAACGCAAAATAAAACCAAAATATTATCCTTCCATCTATGGTATTTTTTTTCAATCCAAAACAACGGAAATAACAAAAAAAATTGCTAATTTTCTTTTATTTTTAAAGAAAGCTCTAATTATTTTTTTTTACCTTTTCATTTCCAAATACTTATCCAATTGTTATTTTCCACAAAATTGGGGAAAGGTTGGGAAAGAGATACATACAAACAACACTTTCTAACACGTGGTAATATACTCCGCCTTCGAAGCTACAACTGTTCTTCCAACAGAAGATGCTCTTTGTCGGTCGGAAGCTTCGAGAGGTAGTGTTCATGTATATCGCGTCACATTATTCTTAAATTTGTCATAATATTATTAGGTTATACGTTCTACTATTTGTTCTGTCTTCTCATAATGTATTTTTAGCAACTATGCCTCATTGCTTTTATATGTGAAAATATATACTGGACTACGAATTTCGTTCAATTTTTAAAAATAAATTTTAATTATATAATAAAAATACGTAAAAGTAAAAAAATTAAAACTTCGAAGTTATTTGAGCATGATAAATTTTTAGAATATAACGACTGCATGTTCGGGAGAAAATTTTTCAAAAACCAAACGAGCTCACAGCGAGATATAAGTAGATATGTGAATACTCTTTATTTTTTCTCTATTTTGTTCTGTGTATCAAATGAGTTAACCCAAGAGTACTATTTATACTAGTAGAGAAAGTATCTTGCATTAATGATAAAATCACCTTGATTTTATTGTAATATTATTTTGAATATCAATTTACCATGGATTTTCTGTATATTTTATTATGATTTAATTTTTATATAAATCAAGAATATTCTATATATTTTTTCATTAAGGTTTTTTAGAACCTTCCGCTGATCGCACTTTTCACGGATTAGACCTATTTCGATTCTATCAAATAAGTGCAAATCCAACCATACTAAAATAAATTTTGGATTAGTATAAAGATATAGATATCTTGGAGTTTTGGATGACCAATGCGACACGATATGGTATTGAATTAAATTTATAACATCTTATATTATCAATATTCCTATCATTACTATTGTTTCAGAGTCTTCTTTTAACATCGATTCTATGTTTTAAACAAATACATAAGTTGTCTTTTATCTTCAAATGTTCAAGTTGTGTTATGCACCCGTTCTTGATTATTTGGTTTTGAAGAATATGGCCAAGTATATATATTTTTTTGTTATTCATTTTGTTTAGTTTTATACATATCTGAGCTTGAATGTTTAATTATATAAGCTCGACCATAAAGATCATGTCTGGACAAGATTGTTAGGACCAAATGGATTGTTGGATGGAATAAGTTATCCCCGAAGATTAGTCTCAGGCTCAAAGCTCTCGATCGTTGTTCCCAGGTGAGATAGATGGATGTGTTAGCGTAACAATGTATTGAGAAGATGATTCATTCGCTTACGTCACACTTATGTAATGATTATGCAAGTGGTTACATCATGATGATATAATATTTATGTAGGAGTTGTTAGAAGTTTGAATTTGTGTGTGTGTTAGGTGAGATTGAAGAAAATAAGGATATGGTAGGTGTGATTGATTGATGAGGTGTTATGAAAATGTGTGGTTGTGATGAGAGTAGTAGGTTTGGAGTTTCAGTATAAATAGGGGGTGTTGTATGGAGTTTTCATATCAAACATTCCTAAGCATTTCTCTCTAAACACTTCTCTCTCTTTTCTCTCTTTGATATTTCCTTATAAAGTTCTAAGCATAAATGCTATGAATCTTCAATATTCTCTCGTTTTTCTTTCTTTATGCACTAAAGAAAAGAAGATAAGAAGCTTGTGAATGAAAATATAATACAAGCTTCGTAACATGGTATCAGAGCTAATTACGGTTCAAGGGACGATGCTATACTAATACAAGCACAAGGAAGAGCACTAGATTGAAGCACAAGACGCACCACGAAGCACTACTTGCACGAAGAGCACTATGGCGGTAAACATCCAAAACATTCAACCCGTTTCTATTTTCGATGGCCAAAATTATGAGTTATGGGCCACGAGGATGAAGACGACGTTGATGCTGAGAGAGTTATGGGACATCGTTGAAAAAGGTGTTCCACCACAAACATCGGAGACCACAGAAACACCGACGAAAAATCAAGAGACAGATCTCACAAAATGGAGGAAGATCAAGATGAAGGATATGCCAGCCCTCCAACTCCTACAACATTCCATCACAGATTCCGTCTTCCGAAAGGTGATAACGGCCACGACATCAAATGAGGTGTGGAGCAAGCTGCAAGAAGCATATCAAGGTAACGAACGAGCCATACTTGTTCGATTATAATCTTTACATACTCAATTCGAAATTTTGAGAATGAAAGATGGTGAAAGAATAAGAGCATATACAGATAGAGTGATGGATATCGTAAATCAAATGGAATAATTGGGAGAAGAAAAGAAAAATTTCGAAATCATAAGGAATATCCTAACAACGATGTCAAAGTCATACGCAACTTTGGCAGCGTTGATGGAGAAGACGAAAGATTTGAGAAGCATAAATGTCACAGATCTGGTTGGATCTTTGATCACACATGAATCAAAGTTTCTACCGGATGAAGAAGGAAATTCAGAAGGAGCTTTTCCACCTCGATCGAAAAATCACAAAGGAGGTAACAAAGGTCTCTAGAAGTCTAATCCGAAAGGGAAGAAATGATGTGGTTATTGTAAGAAAGATAATCACACCGAGGAGGAGTGCTACTTCAAAATCAAGAAGGGCAAACAAGACCAACAAGTGAGAAGTCGAAAGAATGTTATACCTATGGAAAGACAAGACATTTGGCTCGAGACTGTAGAATGAACCAAAGTCGCAACGCTCAAGTCACACAAACGGAGGGCATGAATTGTAATACCCCGGATCTCGAAGTAAATATTTAATTATTTTCAAGAATAAATAATTAAATAAATGCGTATAATAATTCGGGAATAGAAGTGAAAAATAAAATGAAAAAGAGTACGAAGCCGGAAAACGTAAAAAAAAAAGATCGAAAAATAAGCGAAGAAGAATGTTAAAATTCATCGTTGGTTAGGGTCGAACAAAAAAAAACAACTGGTGAGTCGGACCAGAGTCAGATCGTCGGACCAAAACGAGGAGGAACGAACCAGAAAAAGAAAAAAATAAAAAAAAATTAAAATGGGAAAAACTGAGTTGGTCAGCCGGACCAAGTCTTGGTCAGCTTCGGACCAACTCAGTCAGCCGGACTTGGACAGGACGGACGGACCAAGAGGAAAATGAGTGTAGTCCGGACTTGGTCAGCCGGACCAAAATCTGGTCAGCCCCAGACCAAGTGATATACAAACTGTCGACAAATTTTTGGTTCGCGATTTTCTCACACATGGGCGGCCACAACACACCTAATTCGCACCAAACCGACAAAAGGATACCCAACTATCTCCTACACTCATCCAATCACCCTAAAACTCTCTCATCTACCCTAAAGACCCTCTCAAACAAATTAAATCAACCATTTTCGGACTGAAAATGGGCAGAGAAAGAAAAGAGAGGGAAAGAAAGAAGAGACGAGGAAGAGGGAGCTCGGGAAGACATTGAGGAACAACCCTTGAGAGTCTAGGAGGAGATCTCAAGGCGTAGGAACACAGAAACATCAACCAAGCTCGACCAAATCAGATTCAAAATGAATCTGATCCAAGAACAGGTGAGTGGCTTGAGTTGCGTCTGTGCAAGCTCATTTTCATCGATGTGATTGTGTTATCTCGATGATACGTTGATTGATTTTGAAAGAGGACATTTCAATGAGAATTTAGAAATAAATGGCGCTCAATTTGGCTGAGAAACGAAGGAGATATGAACAAACGAAAACTGTGAAAAAACTGAAATTGCAGAATCGTGATTTTTCGAGGTGCAGGCGTTACGAATCGTTTTTCATCGTGTATACATGAGATTTAAATAATCTATTGCTTGGATATGAAAAAGGACATCCCAATGAACATTTAGAAACAAACGTGCGCGATTTGGTTAAGAAACGAGTGAGTTATGAGCAATCGAAGTCGGACCAGAAATCTGAAAACGCGAACAGACGAACTGTCTAGTTCCGGTCTGCCGGACCAGGAACTGGTCAGCTTCGGACCAAGTCCGGAAAATATTTTTAGTCCACCAGACCAAGGAGAAGAGGCTGAGGAAGCCTAGTCCGACCCGGACCAGAAACTGGTCCGGCGCACCAAGCCTGTTTTGGACCAAAAAATGGTCCGATCAACCGATTTCTCGGGGACGGACCGAACCGGTCCGCCGGACTAAATCCCGGTCCGGATCAGACCAAACCTAAGAGGAAAGAGAAGACAAAAATGAACAAATTGAATGAATACGTGTGGTAAGACGTGAGAAATAACACTGCGAGTGAATCGTTGTGGGTTTATTTTTGGGTAGCATTGCATGGCGTGAAACGGTAAGATGGTGTGAGACCGAATATCGTGATACGTATGATTGTAGCCGGGGGATGATGATGCATGTTGAATGCTATGATTGAAGCTCACTCGTGCGATACGAGGGGAGCGTGATTGTGATTGTACTCCGATGTGTCACGAGAGGTGACATCGGCTGTTACCAGTGCGGTGACAAGCGCGTGAAGCGCATGATGATCGCGAGATGCGATGGCCAATATCATGTGATATGACGGGCGTGCGAGGCGCACCTAGCCATGCGATGTGGCTAGGATTGTAGGCTATACCTATGGTACGATGCCATACGGTTTTGTTGATCGTGAGTTGCGATGGCCAACATCATGAGATGTGACGGACGTGAGAGGCGCTCCTAGTTATGCGATGTGACTAGGGTTTATGCCTAACCCTATGGTGCGAAGCCATACGGGATTTGATTGTCGCGCGAAGTGATACCCAACGTCATGAGATGTGACGGGCGTGAGCAGCGCTCCTAATCATGCGATGTGACTAGGGTTTATGGCTAACCCTATGGTGCAAAGCCATACGGGATTTGATTGTCGCGCGAAGCGACGGTCAACGTCATGAGATGTGACGGGCGTGAGAGGCGCTCCTAGTCATGAGATATGACTAGGGTTTACTGTTGACTCTATGGTGCGAAGCCATACCTACTTGATTGTCGTGCGATGCGACGGCCAACGTCATGCGATGTGACGGGTGTGTGAGACGCTCTTGGTCATAAGATGTGACCAGGGTTCACGGCTAACCCTATGTCGTGAAGCCATACAGGAATGAATATGATGATATTCTGATGTGATATGAGTATATGTTTAATGTTGAATATTATATTTTATGTTTTATCGTTTTAACACCGTTCTCGCTGAGAACGGGTTTACCGGGTTCAACCCGGGCTATTCACTAAACGGTTGTGCTTAGCCCTCGTGGTTTCATCTTTTTCAGATCACGAGGAGTACGTGTAGCATATCTAGATGACGAGAAGACTTGAGAGAGGCAGCATCACGTACGGATTTGATTTGTGTTAATTTTTGAAAACGATGTTTTCCTTTGCGTTGTATTTTAAGATTGGACGTGTGGTAATTCAAGGTTGTATTAAACTATTCCGCTGCATGTTTATAAAATAAAAGTTTTTAAATTTCTGTATTTTTGTTTGGTATTATTTTGATGGTTTTAGTCCATGTGACGCATCCTGTTTATGGGAATCGGGATACGGGTGCCATAACTTTTGGTATCAGAGCAACGTTCGTTCCATGGGAAAGAACGACTCATTACCTTAAAGGTTTTTACACTGAAAATGTTTTTCGAAAACCACGTCCAATGGACAAAAAAATTGTTTTATAAAAACCGTACAAGTGATGTGAGCTGCAGTCGTCGAAGGCTTAGTGAAAATAACATGGCGCATTGGGAATACCGCCATAATACCTTAACTTGAAAAATAATAATTTTCGTAAATTAAGTCGAACGTCTTACCAAGGGATCAGAATTAGAGAATTAGTCATGAATTCCTTAAGGGACCATCGGACAGTACCTAAAAGAACATACACCAACTCTACCAAGTGGGACGTATAGGACGAAGGTTGGAGGACCTGACCTCGCTTGCCATCCAAGTGGGCATTTACAAAGGAATCCTTCATATTAACATAAAAGACCAAAGGTGATCAGAAAAGAAAACGATGAAATTCTGATCAAACCATCACCAATAAGAAAACTGGAAGACCATCACGAATCGGTGTACACTACCAAGGATTAATGAATTGATGAATCAACTACTAAGAGCTCGACGATCGCACAAGACTGACTTATGGTTCGGACATCATCAATTAAGGCGAATAATGTACAAAGGACAAACATCAAGTCTCGTTAGGGCCACTTTGAATTTGCGGTAGTGTTGACAAGACTTACAAATACACCTGGAGTATTCATGTAAATGGTGAACCATGCTATAATAAATTACCTGGTTGAGTTCATCATTAGAAATGATGTTCTCACTAGATCAACGCACAAAGGAAACACTTATAAAGAATACAATGATCTAGTATACGCAAGACGCTCAGTCTAGGCTCATGGAACCCAAGTGGATTTCACTAAAAGCTGAAAGTATCATAGATTTGAAGTCACTCATCTATGCAATGGAAGTCCATAACCTCTTGGAGATGTAGACTATAATTGTCATCAATTCACAGAAGGGTTCGCTGCAACCAGCGACCCATGATTGAGTTAAATGAAAATGTACAGTGGACTGGAATGGGCCACTGATGCGAAAATAGTTCAGTCAGTTGAAACGGAATTCAACATTAGCACTGATCTTGATTTTATCATGACCAGGAATATATACGAGGGTTACACGGACGCGTCCAAACAACGACTAGGCTACGTGTTATAGGAATGACACCTCATCGCCTATACATCAAGACAATTAAAGAAACATGAAGAAAACTATCCGATGTAGGACATGGAGCTTGCAACTGTAGTTCATACTTTAGAAGTATGGAGGTAATACCCGTATGGGGAGACGATCATGCTAACATCAATCATAAGAGCCTCCCTACGTGGCCTCCCAGAAGAACTGGAATTTGAAATAACGAAGATGGTTAGAGATCATCGCCAACTATGGCTTAGATATTAACTACCATCAAGGAAGGACCAATGTGGTGGTAGATACACCAAGTGGGGAAAGGATCCTAAGCGGCCATTTACGTTGTGACATCGTTGTATGGTAATGCCCCTGAACTGAATGCAACACCGAGATAATTGTCCTTAAGTCAAGAAGAACACCTGAACAACCCAGTGGAAGAGTGACGTAAAGATAAAACATGGATCTTTCATTCTCTAAGTATATGGATCACGTGGAAGGAAACTGTAACTAAAGGGTATCATCTCGATAGGAAGAAGACTCTGTAACTAGAAAACAAAAGTATAGATACCTGATGACCTCGAGATGAGGCAAGAGGCATTGGAGAAGTCACATCGTCAAAAGCTACCCACACCCCGGAACAAGTAGGGTATATCAAAAAAATATGCCAAGTGACAGACTGGGTCAGCAATCAAAAGAATGTGGCTAAGTTTGTAACAAGAAGTTCAAACGGTCTACCAAAAAAAAAAGGGTGAACGACAAATATCAGGGTAGACTATCACTGTTGAAAATCTAGAAATAGAAGTGAGAGTCAATCGCTGCAGACTTTCTGAAAGGATTATCACTCATTACAAGGAAGAAGAGGATCATCTGAATAGTCGTGGACCGACTAAACCAAAACCGTCCAAGTCAGATAAATGTCAGGATAATGTCGGTAATAGCAATTGGCAAAATATTATACTAATGAGATCACCTCAGATAGAGACGCGTAACTTACAATTCGTCTATGGAAGATGATCCAAGAAGTATTGGGGACGAAGTTCAATATGAACATAACACAACATCCCCAGATGGACGGACACTCGACACAAATCATCCAGACTCTAGAGGACAAGCTTGGAGT